ATTGGTATGGTCTTGTTGAAAAAATAGCGTTACATTCGGATCTACCTAAATTACTGATTTATTTCCGAATTTTGTGTAGAAATTAGATTTTGAATTAGATTAATTTACGTTTAAATTAGTGAGAATTTCCCAAATGTCGGATTAGATATGGGGAAGGGTGTGGGTCAAATATTGGTATGGTCTTGTTGAAAAAAAAGCGTTACATTCGGATCTACCTAAATTACTGATTTATTTCCGAATTTTGTGTAGAAATTAGATTTTGAGTTAGGTTAATTAACATTTAAACAACTGCGAAATCCCGAAATGTCGGGTCGGGTTCGGAGTAGGGGCAGGGTAAACACACGAGCAGGCAGATGGTTAATAAACGCGTTTTAGCACGTTTTAGTTGTTATGCGTGAAGAACCAAAGATGTTTCACCCGAAAATATGCGTTATAAGACTAAAAAGTTGTTAATTCTTTCATTAAATTTGAGAAAATGATTTATTTTTACTTACATTATTCGTGTTGTGCACGTGGATATGGAACAAATTATTTATCGGCCCAATTTTAACCATTGTGTTGTGAAAAATACGTCGTAAGCATGGTTCGTGACGTCACAAATTGTGACGTCACATCGAAATTTCAAACTCATTTTTCGGTAAGTTCTTCACTTTTCCGCACTTTCTTTTTATTTTTAACGTGTTTTTTAGGCATTTTTACGTCGGTAAAAAAAAATCATCGATTTTTAAGCGACATGTCTATTCTTCAATTTTTCCAAGATTCTTCTTGAATTCTTTATTTCGGTATTATCGTGATTATACTTACCTTATTTGTTTATTGAGTTCAACATCTGAGTTGAATAGTTTAATGATTTTTTTTCTCTTTCTTCGAAGTATATCATTTATTTGATTAGGAGTATTAATTGATTTTGATTTCAATAATTCAAGTTAGTAAATATTTTTTTGTTTTGTTTTCTTTATTTTGTTCGAGATATTATTTAAATTTTTTTTATGCATTTTCTTAATGTTGTTGTGAGGGGAAACATAAGCTTATGCGGACCAGAGTTATTTTTTTTTGTTATTGATTTTAAAAGGTATTTTGCATTGTTTTGGAGTTTGAAATTTCTCTCAAAAATTTCTGGCGCTCAACATTTAATAAATTTAATTCGTATTATATTTTTTTTTACATCACTGTTTTATTAACTCACACCCGTCTTCACTGAATTAGCCGTAAGCACCCGCAATAGGGTTACCTATATATTTTTTTTTTGTGTCAAAACAGAGAATTATGTTCCCCAAAATTGGCATTACAATTATCTGCACTGAAAGCACTAACAAAGGCGATTGATAAATTATTAGATTCTAAACAATTATTAAATATGCGATGCATAACTAATACACTTTCGTCAGGATTTTCTATAAAGTCAAGCATCTTATTAACGACCCCATAGCCATCTTTAAAATATTGTACAGCTATTACAAAAAATTTCCTGTTTTTTACATTGAGGGCATCAATTTGCACACAATAACATTTATTTTGTAAATCATCAAGAACTATTTTTTTAGCATTTGGGCCAAGAACTTTAACTATAATTGCTTCAGACTTGGTACGACCTAAATACAGCTTATTTGTTAAACTTTTCTCATTACAATTACTAAAAATATGCTTGAGCACTTTTATGCCACAGTCAAAACTATTATATGACAAATTGTGTTTTATGTTATGATTTTATGTTATTATTGTAGCCACATTGTTTTCTTCTGGTGTATGGTTTGGTGTGCAGGAAGTTGTTATTAAATTGTTATTTCAATCAAAAGTGGCAGTTTTGATTGTATGATATGTATTTTCGTCAATTCATGCTGTTTTACTTAAACATATGAATATTTAATTATTATTGTATGTATAATGTATTGTGTTATACAACACATATTTGTATAGGTTAATTTACTTCTTATACGCTTAGTTACTTACGGAAGTTAATCCTTGATTTTTAATAGAAAAATCTTTAGTACATAAAGTACACTGAGCATATTCATCATTAATTTTAGAAGGTTTTAACCATCTGTATGTATTAGACCACTCTTTTCGATAAGTAGATTTATACTTCAGCTTCTTAGTGGGTGGAGCTTTAATCTTCTGGTTCTCGTATATATTTTTATGATTTTCTTTTACTTCGTCACTCATCTTGATCTTATTATACTTTATATTAAATTTAATATATGCACAAATGCATTCAAACCACAATAAGTAGTTAAAAACAGTAAAGAGTGAAGTTAACACCAGATAGTCCCATTCAAAGCACCAGACGCCCTCTGATGGAGAGTTTCGGTAACCACCGCTTAATGATAGACTTCAGCTCATAGGTTTTTTTTTTGGTTTACGTGTTGCATATATATTTTTTTAAATAGAGAAATAGAAGAGGATTGAAGAATATTAGAGAAGGGAGGAGATAGCCTGTTAAACAGAGGAAACTCCTCTGAAATAGAGGAGAGTTGGTAACCCTAGGTGTGGGCAGGAATAAAACGGGAAGCCTGCACTGATTTGGTCATCATCGATGTATCATTAACTGCCCACCGATATATCGAGGAAATATTGGTTAATTACGTGCAATCCTTTAGTGAGTTTTATATAATCCTAATGCAGGATGCACGGCCTCATACAGCCATGTGTGTTACACAATACCTCAATGAAGTGGGTATTAATAAAATGAACTGGCCAGCGTGTTCGCCCAATCTAAATCCCATCGAGCATGTGTAGGATATGCTTGGTAGGCGGATGAGTGACCGCAAAGTAGCTCCAGCTTCTGTACATGAACTGCGAATAGTTCTTCAAGAAGAATGGCAAAACATTACGCAGCACTCCATTTGTAATGTTATCGACAGCATGAATCGACGTATGGAAGCTGTGATAAGAGTTAGAGGTCGAAACATAAAATATTAAGATAAATATCTTGTAAAAAAGTGGTACATAGGGTTACGTTTTAGGTTAGAATTGAATTACGATCTTACCTTTTTTCTTTTCATTAGTTGTAGCACAAACTGATGCTATCAAACTGTCATTAGAATAACAATGAACAAGGCCACCTTATTAAAAAGTAACGTACCTTAAGTAAATTGTTAGTGAGAAATTCATTTCGCTCTTAAAAATGAACGATTGCACTTAGAGACATGAACCAAAATACAAAATGTAGGGAACGAATGGTTCTTAACAAAAATTATATTTTGAAACAATTTATACACTAAATTATTCCACAGCTGTTTTGAAATTAGGGTCCTAGAACGACGTTTCAATTAACCCTGTATACCGACTAAATGACCAGCATTTAACAAAAGGCTGGATATTGAACATAAAATTCGACATTTTGAACGAAAAATAAAAAAGTTATCACATTTCAAACTTTACCAAATATTAGCTCAAATAGATTGAAGTCAGCTAAACCACCGAAATCCAAGTTGACAGTTGGTGAAAAAAAGGCATTCCGATCTATTAAAGAAAAGTCAGAAATCGTCGTGTTACCAGCAGACAAGGGGAATGCCACCGTTGTTATGGACAGGAAAGAATACGACGACAAAATGATGAACCTACTGGACCCAGCCACCTACAGGAAGATCAAGAAGGACCCCACAGACAAAATCGTAAGAAAAATGAAGGAACTGATAAAATCCACAGGAATTCCAGCAGAACAGCAAAAAGGTTTGTTTGTGCAGGCGCCGGTACCACCAAGAATCTACGGACTACCGAAGATTCACAAACCAGACGTCCGCCTCCACCCTATCGTCAGCGCCATCAACTCCCCAACATACCAGCTGGCCAAACATCTTGCATAGATTCTGTCTCCCTTTACAGGTAACACGGAATCGTATGTCAGGGATTCTACACATTTTGTGGAATCGGTAAAAGGTGTAAAGCTGGATGCTGGGGATATGTTGGTAAGTTTCGATGTGGAACTCTTTTTACTAGGGTACCAGTTAAGGATGCTGTAGAGGGTCTTCTCCGAAAACTCATTCCGGAGGGTTTACCAGAATACGTGCCAGATCTGGTAGAATATTGCTTATCGTCGACGTATTTCAGCTGGAAAGGAGAATTTTACGAGCAGTTCGAAGGGGCAGCCATGGGATCTCCACTATCGCCAGTTATAGCTAATTTCTACATGGAATTAATCGAAGAGGACGCTTTGAAGAAGAGCCAATGGAAACCAAAACTATGGCAACATGGTCAAAAACGGCTCCAAGAGTTCTTGGATCACTTGAACTCTCAACATGCTATGATTAAGTTCACCATGGAAACAGAAACTGCCAAAAAACTACCTTTCCTAGATGTGTTGGTCACCAGGACGACAAATGGAGATATAGAACTTGGTGTATATCGAAAGAAGACCCATACCAACAGGTATTTACAGGCATGTTCACATCATCATCCCCAACGGAAGAGGTCCGTGATCCGTACATTATTTCAGCGAGCAGCGAGACTATATGAAGGAGAGAACTTGAAGAAGGAGCAACACTTTCTACGAGGCGTGCTGCAGAAGAATGGATACACTTCAAGGGACATCAACCAGGCCATCAAGCAGCGAAAGCGGAAAGAGGACACGGTAAGTACAAAACCACTTGGATATATCTGTCTTCCCTATGTTTCAGGTGTAACGGAACGAATTGCTAAGCATCTCAAGAAGAACGACATCGTAGTGCGGTACGGCACGGTCAGCAAAATTCGGAACACACTCCCGATAGCCAAGGACAAACTAACTCCATTAAAAGGCGCGGGAGTCTACCGACTATAGTGTAGTTGTGGAAAGGTTTATGTTGGCCAAACTGGACGCAACGTCGAGTGCCGCATCAAGGAGCATGTTTTGCACCTGAGTGTATATTACACTCAGTTCCAAAAGAAGTGACGCACTTGATTTTTGACCTAATTTTAATATCTTATATTTTTTAAACCAGTGGGCCGATTTTTATTATTTTTTTTTTTATTATTTTAAAAATAATAAAAATCGGCCCACTGGTTTAAAAAATATAAGATATTAAAATTAGGTCAAAAATCAAGTGCGTCACTTTTTTTGGAACTGAGTGTACTTCAGTAATTACAGGAACTGGAATAAAAATGTTTGTAGAAAATGTAACATTTCTTCTTTAATGTTTAGTTGCTCCAGAATAATATATCTAAGCACTATTACCTTTCATCCTACGTAAAGAAAAATGTAGACTTTCTTTTTAAACTTAAACACTTTTCTTTTTTAAACTTAAAAATTATGTAGCAATAAACAAAATTACAAGTTTCTACTTTATCAACCTAAGTCACGTTGCTATATCACCAACGAGATGTCGCTAAAACACATCTTTGTCAAATAGAAACTAACAATTAACCTCGAATAGTGACATAGAACTGTCAAAACTATAAGCTGAATCGTTTATTATGTTTTTGAAATATTTTACGACGATTTTAAGGGATATATAGCGTTTATCAGGATGGGGTTAAACAATGTACTCCTTTTAAGCCAACTAACAGGCTATATTATAGCTTTAATAGTATCGTTATGCATTGTTATTCCTATGAGTTTGCATCAAGACCAATTTAGGTAAATAATTATTAACAATAAGTTTTAAGACATCTAAAATATTTTTTTTTATTTTTAGAGGTCATTGCTTGCTTTTTTCCACTGGTTGTTGGCAAGAAACAGATGGTCAATTAAGTGTAGATTGGGCTTCGCAAGGATATTGTAACTATACAATATTTGTTGGTGTTATGTTATTTTTGATATCAGCAACACAAATTTATAGGTAACTAATCTAAAAACCCAAGAATAAATATGTTCATGTTTAATTTATTTTAGAATGGCTTGGTTTTTAATAAAAGGCACCGATAGCAGCTTTTTTTCAGCTTTCATTGATGTTGTTGTTAGCATTTGGTTAGCAGCAATGACAATAATAGCAGCTATAATGATTACATTGGGATTTATGTCATGGTGCGATGTTATGGTTGAAAGATTTCCATCGTAAGTAAAATGAAGCGTATTAATTAAAGTAGTTTAACTGTGTTATTTGTTATTTATTTGTTTTCTTATCTTTAGTTGTGAAGCAGCTGCGGGTCAAAAAATTGATGATAAAGATGGGATAGTAACAGATGGTTTTTATGTACAACTTGGAACTGCTCAAGTAAAAAAATTAATCCTGATAAATTAATATTTGTTATCATTTTTTTTTTTAGTTTGGTGTTTGGGGCTCTTTTGCAATGTGGGTTGGTTTAAGCGTATTTGCTCTCCTCAAATTATGCCGTTATCATCAAATGGAAAATATGAGGGTGTCCATGTATAGGGAGCGCCAAAGATTGATATGCGAGAATTCTTGCGAAGCATCTTGTAATTCTCTCGGACGAGAATCAACAAGCAGTACATCAGAGCAAAGAGTGGAGTGATTAGTAAAATATATCATACAATATCCTTGTTTATTTGTTTATGCAATTATTCATTTGTCTTTGTTGTTTCAACACACTCTATATCAATATTCAAAGTTTTAATATGTAAATTATAAAATAAGAAGATCTGTTGATTAATATTCAGTAGATATTAGAATTTGTAATTAATTTTTTCGTATCATAATTAAGAATTTATTTAGCAAATGTGTGATATATGTGTTAGTAAAATATTATTAAAACTTACTTGGTTTGAATTTTAATTGTTATTAGTTATAAATATTAGATTTAAACGCGTGTGAAGATAGCCATAGATTTTAAACTGAAAATAATGCGTGATTGGGGTATTTAATCGATCTAATTTCAACGTCATCGTATTAATGGTCGCCTCTTGTTTCAAATTGGAAAAGAAAATTTTCCTAACCATTTCTTATATTCCGGATAAATCGATTTTCTTTCAAACATAAGCAAATGTCGGCCTGTTCGTGGTTTCTAATCGATCCCATTTCAACGGCATTATATTCTCAGTCGCTTCTTGCTTCAGAATCAAAAAGAAAATCGTCGCCGGGCGTGCAATACCTCTAATGTGAATAATTACAAATTTTACAGGAGAACGAAAAAACTATATAATTGAAGGAGATTCGGAAAAATATCATAAAAAATTGTATTGACGCTGATTTATATACATTTTGAATGTAACAGATCACACAAAAACAATCGGAACACCTTTTTTCTCCAAAAATTCGCTTATGCAAGTCACATTGGGGGTATTGCTACATTTTAAAATATCACATTGTTGGTATTTACCACTTTACGGTTTCATTGTACCTATTTTAGGATTTAGAAATAATATATTTGTGCAAAACAAATAAAAGCCCTGTCTACTCAAAAATTTATTTATTATTATATTATTTATTTATGCATAGAAATTTATCAAAACGCTTCAAAAGAAAATCAACTTAATTATTCAACTGAAAGAAAAACTTTAGTTTTTAGTTTTCTTCTTTTTATGTTCGTGCGGCAATGCATCGTAAAATGGATGATGATCTTTTTCTATAACTCCCTTTAAGTCTTGCAAGTGGTTGTATTTGTCGTCAGATATTGGCAGTTGTCTTTTATAAAGCGGCATAGTGTAAGAAGCAGTTTCTTGAGGACATCTTCGATGAGGTAATTCTTGCCAATTTTTAGAGTAGTCCAAGGTGTATAAAACTTTACCATCAGGTAAATATTTTATTTGACGAACATCGACTACAACGGGATCTCCCACACGCTTTCCTGGCCTAATGGACGGAAAATTAGAAGGCATTTCATATTTTTTAAAGAAAGTGTGATCTAGAACTTTTATCTCGTATGGAAGACTTGGTCGAGCTAGCCGCATTCTTGCCACGTAGTCAGTTGGTGAGTTGATAGGAGGATGGAAGTAATGTTCTAATGCTGAATGGACAGAATCAGCTTCCATCATGGTATGTCCCTTTTCTAAGAAAAGCTGGTGAATTGTTACTTTTTTTTCAACGGCAAAGTCATTAAGAGCACTTGCCAAGACCTTATTGCGGTTTTGATAGTTGCATCCGTCCGAAATCAGAACAAATGATCTAATTTTGTTCTGGTCCTCCAGCTTGGACAGCAAGTAATCAATTACACAGGACGTGAATTCATTCGATGAAACTCCGCCATTGGCTTCGTGCCATACATATAGCGCAACCCTTTTGTCGTTTAACGAATAAATGGTAAAATTGTGTAGTTGTAGCTTCAGCTTATAGTAGCTTTCTGAAGCTAGGAGTTTTGGGCATGTCAAAACACTCTGAAGGTCCATGGTGACAACAAAGTTTTCATCACTTGCACTAGCCTTCAGAGCTGCTTTTTCTTCTCTACCAGCTTTTTCTTTTCCACGGTGAAGATTATATTCGACTTCAGAAACATTTCCACATTTATAACCAACACAAGTATCACATTGATCTTTGCGAGGTTTGTGGATAGAAATTTTTTCATCCCTCAAAATACATTTAAATGATTTAAGGTGCGTTACTTCTTTTTCATTTTCTGTACACCAAGTCTTGTATATTTTATACATATTTTGTTTTGAAACAAAAGCATTGTCAACATAATGTCTAGATGAAGATGCTCTACAATAGTGTGACGGTACTTTTGGTATCAAACTAAACCACTCAACAACAGTGCGGCTTAATTTCTGTTGCTGTATACCTTGACGAGTTTCTTTTTTGTTATTATTCATCGGAACTTCAGAGTGACTTATAGTATCATCTGTAGATGACTCAGAGACCGACCTGCTTTCTTTTAGCCATCTCTTCAAGCAGTCTTCACCCAAACTTAAAGTATGTAAAAACATCTTGTGACAAACTTTGAGTCTTTCCCCATTTCGCTTCGTAAG